CACCGGCCCTAGCTTCGGTTGGGGTCGGTTGTTGTGTCCTCTTCTCCCTTTTCTCCTTCTTCTCTCCTTGCATCTACTATTGGTTTTCCCCAATTTCCTTTTCGGCTTATCCTATTTCTCCAACTCCATGGGTATTCCTCTTTCTGGTTTTTCCTTGCTTCAATTTTCAGCCATGTCTTCTGTGGAGTGTGTGTAGGGTTCTGATGCTTTCACCGGATTGGGTGTTTTCAACACTACCACATTCTCCTTTGTGTCTGCCGTTTTCGGCAGTGTTGCTTGGGAATTTTCCTGAGCTTTAATCTGGTGATTGACTTCTTTCGCTTGGATGTCGATTACCTCTTGCTTATGGTTGTGCACAGGAGGCGTCAGTGAAGGAGATGATCAATAGCGGTCAGAGAATCGGATGGCTGGAAGTTCCTCAAATTGACGGTGGAGAAGGCAGTGGGTGCTTCTCTGATGTTATTTTGTTTTGGGCTTTTGGGCTCATTTTTTGTTTCTGTTGTTTTTTTTTCTTTATGTTTAGGCCTTTTGGGTTGTGTACAGGTGTTGTTGGACTTATGTTTGTATGTAAATTTGTGTATTAGTGTGTTTGGTTGGAATAAAGTCTTCCCTTTGACCAAAAACAAAAAAAGCCTCCTCATTGCTCAGTTTAGTCCACATTCCTTTTTGCAATTTGAAGACCCTTACATCAAAGTTTTTAACTTCTCACTAAAATAGTCGTTTTACATTGTGATTAACTGTACTGAAAATGTAATTAGGGGCAGTCAAGTTTATCAACCAATTATTATTTATCACATGATCTGTATATATCTGTAACTGTAAGATAAAAGTATCAATAGAATTAACGACATATCCACACTTCACAAAAAAAGGTGCAGTTAAACAAAATATGTGCTCCTAATTCTTGATAGGCACCAAAAATGTCTGATCCCGGATAGCCAAGCCAACTGTCTTCTATTTAAACCAAATAGCGGAATCGCTGCCTCCTGCTCTAACATCCATGTCTCTATAAGCAGAACATGAAGAATTCGATAAGCATTTGGCCCTGCATTCAACAAGGTTACTACTTTTATTTATCCAATTGTGTGTAGTATCCAGCAATTTCAACCGCATATACCTAGCAAATCCATCATTTCTACAACTCAACGGCTTTCTCCTCACGCAACCTTTCGAAAATCTTTCAAGTTCCAATCCTTCAGCGACCCAGGAAAGAACCTCTCCAAACATTGACAAATTGGCGATGAATTAAGAACACGGTTGCCACCGCAGTGGACATAACTGTCACAAGGATCTCTTGGAAATGCTGCGTAAAGTGTCCAATTCTGATCTGCCTGTGATTAAATCCACTCCTGGTGAAACGACGTGGTTTGGTTCATCATCATCATCCGCCCAAGTAATCACATGTTCATCATGTGAATTGTCATGTATCCTCCTCTCTGTTGACAAAAGTGACGTTCAAAGCCGGAAGTTCCTTGGTGGGTTTTCCATTGAACAAAAGGCCGTTCCACGGATTGCTTCTCAAGTACTCATTAGACCCTTTTCCACATGCCTCAAAATGGTTGAGCAGCTTCGTCTCCCATATAAAGTCTCCCGGAAAAGGGTCATTTGGACTCTTCCATGCTCTTAAATGCCGGTTAAGTCCGGTTATCATGTCCCACCCGAGATTCATTCCTGGAAGCAAGGTATCAAAAGGGTAGTCAAAGCTTTAACAAGTAGTCTTCTGAGTTGGTATCTTTCTCATCCCTTAGGACAAGGTTGCCATTGTCCAACAGATGCAGGACATGGCTCTAGCTTTAGGTATGTTTCGACGAATTTGCAGACCAAACAACTGTTTGGTTGTTTTCGAGAAGGAGAAGATGGCCTATGGTGTTGACTATCCAACTGCCAAGCAATGTTTGAAATATCCTGAATATGCTTGATATTTCCACGAAAATATCCAAAAATTTCAGGGAACGATATGGAAAGAGAGGGTTAAGTATAAACTTCACCCCATATCCGCGATATTTTCGGAAATCAGTCAATTTTCTCGATATTTTTGATATTTTAAGGAAATATCTAGGGTTTGCAGACAATTTGCAAAAAGTTTGCAGGAAATATCCATGAGCCTATGCATTCTTTATTTTTTAAATTTCTTTATTTATGGTATTAGTTTACTTCAATAAAACTTATGCTGCTTTAGTGACAAAAATTTCAATTAAGTTATGTATAATTTATTCTTTCTAGTAAAATGCTTTATTTTATTACTTATCATTAGAATGAAGTTTTTCTTCTCACATACAACATACTTATTGTTTACACATTATCTAATAATTAATTCTTGATTCATACGTGTGTTTTGACTTCATATGACATTCCCTAAAAAATAATTTTAAATTCCCATGTTTTTGAGAAAATTTCCATCATTTCCATCAAAGGCAATCGATATCAATATCGATAATCAATATATCTATTGATATTTCCACAAATTTACCTATCGATATTCCACCGATATCGATATTTTAAACATTGACCGCAGATGGAGCCATCAATTGGAGGCTGCCTAAATAACCACGAGTCGCAATTAATGACTTTCAAGATGCCATCCTCGTAGGCATGTTCTTCCTAGAAATAAATCATAAAAAAATCATGAGATGAACTTTAGGGGTGGACATGATGCGATTCCACTCTCAAATAGAATTGGAATTGGAAAATATCAACGGTTCAGTTTGGTAAGATTTTTCTTAAATTTATTACAAAAATATCAAGACGCCACCCTCGTCATGTGCATGCTCTTCACTCCATGAAGTATAATACGAGAGATTTTTTAGTGTGGCTGTCACACTAGGTGGTACACCACGTGTCTCTATATAAATGGCAAGGTTCTAAAAAACGCTAGGTGCTAGTCGGGCTGCGGGCTAGCGCCTAGGCAGCTAGGCGGGGTCTAGGCAAGCGCCTAGGCAGATTTAGGTAAATTTCTTGTATATCTTGTAAATAAGTGCATATTGACACTTACAAAAAATTAAACTTGTATGAAATTCATGGATAAGATAATAAAAGAATAATCAAAATGCAAAAAGAGTATGCAACAAGTCCAAAATTTAAAAACACATTAAGCATATATGCCATATAATCATAGTGAGGAGTATTGTAGGATGACACATGTATAATAAGTTCACCTAGTGCCAAGCGCCTAGGCCTTTTTTTAGAACATTGCAAGAAAATGCCTCGGGTTACCACTTGGTGTATCATCCGTGTTTCCATCACAACTAAAAATTTCTCACATTATACAACTACTCCCTCACATCTTCAGTTTTTGTTTTTTTTTTTCTTGGACAAGTTGCTAGAGCGTCTTCTCCTCCTCTATCTTTTCTTTTTTCAGTCTATCTTTTCTTTTTTCAGACTTCATCAGCTTCAGCTTTGTGACACAATCATTCTCAACATCATGAACAATATAGCCTTCCACCAACGTCCTTGCCATCTCCAAGTCTTCAGATTGACCAACAACGCCACCAACAAGAGTAACAGTGTCTTCCTATTATTCATTTACAGAAATTAAAACTCATAAATCACCAAAGTGTACCACCCACCGGTGAGAATTAACACCAGATAAAGAAAACCTAACCAAAATCACAACACTTACATAGTGATAAAGATTGATGCCTATCAAGCCAATAATGTCCTGCATCAAGAATATTGGAAAAAATTAGGCATACAACCAGAATAGAGTTAAGCCACCAATAATCATATGTGTACATGAAGCCAAATCAAAAAGCAGTCAGCCATAATAATTTAGATCACTTTATTCGCCTCTATAGAGGCACGAAATCTCCGGAGCCGATCTTCGTACTTCACCTGCAAATTACAGTAGAGATTACAAAACAGTTACTAAGAGGTTTGGCTGAGTCTTCATTGAGCAGGTAGCACCAATCCCAAATTACCACATCTACAAAGATCAAGCCCAAATTAGGAAACCTGTATTCAATACCGACCTTCTCGATCCCAAACCTTGAGCATAGCCCACCTTCTTGCTACCCAATCTTCATCAAGATATGCTGCTTACGGCCGTTCATAATTTCTATCGCCTGAAATCAAATGGTACAAGTCCAATATATACAGTGCAAACTTATAAGCAGTTTAAAAATTCTCACGAAATAGACAATAATTGTACAAGGGAAGGTGGAATGTTAGTTCTTCCTAGCAGTTCAAGAAGACGCCTGGCCCTGACAATATGATCTCGGTCCTTGATCTCTGTGGTTGTTGAGACTTTCATGGAATGGTTACACTAACCCACAATTGAAACACAAGAAGTGAACATGTGCATCAAACAACAGGCATAACTTCAAATAAACAACTGATCAATTAAGGGTAGGTTTCACAACCACAAGTTTATAGAATTAATCATGACATACCGCACTCAATTCGCATGAAATGCTATTCTCCTGTAAAAACGATTTCACCATAGGCCAAACATCTTGCACCCCTTTTGCTGAACAAATACAATTCAGAAGCTCATAAGTGAGAAAGCATTTGTTCTCTTGAATAACTAAAACAAATGAATTATTAGAAAGCATGAGAACAGGGAATTGTTCTCACAGAAAATTTAACAAAAGTAACTACGGGACATAAAAGGGACGTAAACAAAGCTGCAAGAGTTGTGTCAAATGTGGTGGTTATGAACCTCATTGAACAAGTTTGCCTCAGTACTATTTCATAGTCATAACTAAAAATTTATTCAAAAAAGGATTCTTCAATTTAATAAAAAACAAAGAAAAAACAAAAAGATGAATATGGATGAGATGAGCGCACCCCTGTCTTCACCATAGTATTCAGTGAAAGAGCACATGCTACTTTCTCGACAGTATCGTTTGATTCCTTACATTTAATCTTCACAATCTGTGCAAGATCAACAGCATGGAGAAAGATGCCTTCCACCATTGTCCTCAGCATCTCCAATCCATCTGATGTACCCATAGCAGTGAGTGTGCAATCCTATTCATTCATTGACAGGCAATTTATGTTAACCTCCACCAGGTGGTGGGAAGACCAGAGAAAGAAATGGAAAACATAAGCATTAAATGATAAAGGGACAATAACACTTACGTTAAGGAAAAGTTTACACCGTGTCATCTTGGCCATTTTCTGCATCCAAATTATATTGCAAAATATTAGAGAAACAACAAGCAAAATAGGACAGGTAACATAATGTGACGCCATAAATATTTTGCCAGCGGGAAGGTCAACAAACATGATTAAATAAATTTATGCATGCACCTTGATGGAGCGCCTGGAAAGTTCGTCCCATTTCAATTTTACCTTCTGCACAAAATGTGTGAGATTAAATCCACGTAGAATAAGAACTTCAAATTTCATATCTCCACCATTATACATAAATTTGGGTCTGACTGAACATCAAGTAGCAAACATAAGACCCAAATAAAGGCTCATAGTCCTCTTACAAATTATCCTCAGATGTTGTTTTGCCAAAATGAAAAGGTCAGAATCACAGTGTCCAAAAATTAGATCATAGAAGTTTAACAACATAGATTTGTTCAACACGTACTGATAGACAAAAAAATGTTATGAAACTTATTCAATACCCACCTTCTCAATTTTAAATTTTTGGTTCAGATCAAGAAATCCAATGTTAACATGTTGCATGCTTCCATCAACTATCTCTAATATCTGAAATCAAATTGTCATGCACTAAAAAGAATCAGATAATTGTTACAAAATGGTTAAAAATAAAAAATCCAATCCAATTTCTCTCTTTTTTTTTATACATAAAGAGAAAATATTTGGAGATTTCAAGTACAAGGCGGCGTACAAAACATTTCATAAAGCTTGCAAAAAATTTGAAAATCTTTACCAGTGATGGGTCAACAGTAGTATATGCCAAGAGTTTAAGAATTTGACAAGCCTTGTTAGTAATATGTGGGTCCCCACCGGTGGTTGAAACCATCATGGAACGAGGGACCTGATGATAATCTACTTTCCAGTTTATGCCTTGACCTTCCAAAGACGATTTCAATTGATTGTCATATCCGTCTAGCCTTTTTGCTGCACAAAACAAAGAAAGCTCATAGGTTGGGCAACTGTTATTCTAAATAATTAGAATAGTAACAAGCGCAACACGCTTATTGTAGAAAATTAAACCAAATTGTAGTAACAAAATGAATTACAGGACAAGGCATAGTAAAATATATATGCATATCCAGTCAGTAACTCAAGGTTAATGTCAAACCAATACCTGCACATATAACACAATTTGTTTTTTTTTAACATAGAAAACCCGTTTTTGAAATCAAAGTTGAGACACAACCAAAGGACATAGTTAACTTATTAATTACTCGGCCTTGCCGCCACGTAGGCTTGGTAGTTTTTAGGGTCAACACTTACATATCAACATCTCATCCTTATGCTTGTATTACTTGGTGTTTTGCTTATGTTGTGGAACAATCTTCTTTGTATTTTTTTCTATGTTTAGCAAAACCTACCATCCTAAGGTTAGAATGCAACACTTGGTTTAGTTTCTCATTTTAATGCGAGCTAGATGCAATTTTCATATTTGTGTTCTTGAATCTCTTAATGTGATTTATCATTTGTTATTTATGGTTTGATTCTTAGATACCATTATTATGTAGATAGAATTGTATTTGTTTGTGTTCAATGACCATCTTACCTTACATATCAGCACCTATTTAGGAATTACATATGCATATGAGCTAGACCTAGACTTATGGTGTAACTTTATCGTTTTCAAAGAGCTCAACGGACTATTGTATGTTAAATTAGACCTTGACCATAGACTAGTAAGCTAGTAGCATATGAAAATACTTAGACTCTCACCAAGACCATTGGGAGAAATCATATCTAAAGGAAACAATTGCATATTGAGTTGGACTAAGACCTTTCTGTACATACACTTCAAGAACCGAATGTAGAATTGTATGAACGGTGCATTGATTTGAGAATCGTATGGTTGAGTGTGGATTCCGAAACCTTAAGCTCACCATATCCATATAGTACAACCCTAGTTCCTTACAATCACTTATTCATTGTCATGTTTTATTTATTTCTTTTACTATTTTTCCTGTTGGCTTTTCTTATTTGCTTTTCTTCAACCAAATTGTGATCTTTATTTTATGGTTTCAGTGTTTAGTTGATTCAAGAACATAAAATAAAAAGAGTCAATGTTTGCATGCTTAAGTTATTATTTTTGCTTAAATTAATCTCACTTTTGTGGGATCGATCTTTGCTTTTCACTATACTATCCTATTTAATTTGTGCACTGATAAGGTTTAAATTTGTTATTTGTTAGCGGTCTAAATATTCACAGCAACAACAACCAAGAATCTTCACAAGATTTCAGAGTTGAAGTTTGGCAATCGGTATTACTTCATATTTTATTTCCTTTGTTACTTTTTCGGAACTTCTCGAAAGCCTCTTGACTGCGATTTCCTGTCCATCTACTAGCCTAACTAGAAGATTGTTACGTCCTTGAGGAATCAAGTGCTTCCTCAAATTACGTTTCTTCTGCTAGCAGAACGTAAATTACATTGCATACAGGGTCCAAAACCACCTTCTCCAAGCTTATTGTTGATCGAAAAGTAATTAGTGGCACTCTCTATCCTTGGCAAGTCGAAAAATGGCAGCACCAGATCGTCTTCCATCTGTTCTTCAATGTCTTCACCTTATTAATCATCAAAAGTAACAATTAGTGATGCAAATTAACTAATAATTCTGCCTTTGACATCTTTCTTGCCTCTAAATCTTTGAATGTAACAATAACCAACTAAGAACCTCCCAACAATTACAGCAAAGGCAGATGCCGCTAGCAGTCTATCTTCCACTTCTTGCCTCATAGTTAAACACCAGACAATTTGTACATTCCATTGAACAGGGGACCTTTAAATTCCTAAAGAACAAATTGAACATAATTTGTACCTAGTTCTGAAGCACACATCTTGATGTATACATACATCCTGACCACCACCCGGCATTTGCATAATATCGACAAGGTCACCAAACCAGATAGCGGAACCGCTGCTTTCTCCTCTAACATCTATGTCTGTGTAAGCAAAACATGAACAATTCGATAAACATTTGGCCTTGCATTCAACGAGGTTCATGCTTTTATTTATCCAACTATGTGTAACATTAGGCAATTTCGACCGCGGAAGCTTGGAAAAATCATCATTCTTGCAGCTCAATGACTTTCTCCCCACGCAATCTTTTAAAAAATCTTTCAAGTTCCAATTCTCTAGTGATGCAGGAACGATCCTCTCCAAACATTGACAAATTGGCGATAAATTAAGAACACAGTTGCCATTGTCATCACAATGGACATAACTGTCTCAAGGGTCTCTTGGAAACACTGCGTGGAGTATCCAATTATGGTCTGCCTGTGACTAAATCCACTCCTAGCGATACGATTTGGTATGGTTCATCATCAGCATCCAGCCAAGTAATAATAAGTTTCTAAAAGACGCTAGGCCCTAGTCGAACGGCAAGCTGGGGCCTAGTGCTTAGGCGGTCTAGACGGATTTAAGTATATACATGCAAATTCAAACATACCATTCAAAATAAATAATTGCATATCTAAGAACTATACTTGTAAATTCAAACATACCATTCAAAATAAGACAATTTATGACACATAAGTGAGAGTTCTTTCTCTCCGAAGTGAGAGTGGAGACCTTCAATTTCCAGTTTCTCCGGTGGCACCGGCCCTAGCTTCGGCTGGGGTCAGTTGTTGTGTCCTCTTCTCCCTTTTCTCCTTCTTTTCTCCAACTCCGTGGGTATTCATCTTCCTGGTTCCTCCTTGCTTTGATTTTCAGCCATGTCTTCCTGGACAGGCAAGCCAACTGCCTTTTATTCAAACCAGATAGCGGAACTGCTGCCTCTTCCTCTAACATCTATGTCTGTATAAGCAGAACATGAACAATTCGATAAGCATTTGGCCATGCATTCAACGAGGTTCTTGCTTTTATTTATCCAATTGTGTGTAGTATCCAGCAATTTCAACTGCAGATACTTAGCAAATCCATCATTCCTGCAGCTAAACGGCTTTCTCCTCACGCAACCTTTCAAAAAATCTTTCAAGTTCCAATTCTCCAGCGACCCAGGAACGAACCTCTTCAAACATTGACAAATTAGTGATGAATTAAGAACAGAGTTGCCGTTGCCACCACAGTGGACATAACTGTCACAAGGGTCTCTAGGAAATGTTGCGTAGAGTGTCGAATTCTGATATGCCTGTGATTAAATCCACCATTGGTGAAACGACGTGGTTTGGTTCATCATCGTCATCCGCCCAAGTAACGACATTTTCATCATGTGAATTGTCATGTATCCTCCTTTCTGTTGACAAAAGTGAAGTTCAAAGCCGGAAGTTCCTTGGTGGGTTTTCCACTGAACAAAAGGCCATTCCATGGACTGCTTCTCAAGTACTCATTAAACCCTTTTCCGCATGACAAGCTCAGAATGGTTAAGCAGCTCCGTCTCCCATATAATGTCTCCCGGAGAAGGTCGTCCTAGACTCTTCCATGCTGTTAAATGCCAGTTAAATTCGGTCCTCATGTCTCACCCGAGATTCATTCCCGGAAGCAAGGTATCAAAAGGGTAGTCAAAGCTTTGTAACAAGTAGTTTTTTGAGTTGGTATCTTTCTCACCCCTGAGGACAAGGTTGCCATTGTTCAACAGCTGTAGGACAGGGTTCTGTTTTTAGGTTTATTTCGACGAATTTGCAGACTAAACAATTGTTTGGTTATTTTCGAGAAGGACAAGATGGCCTGGGGTGTTAACCATCCAACTGCCGACAGTGTTTGAAATATCCTGAATGTGCTCGATATTTCCACGAAAATATCCAAAAATTTCAGGGAACGATATGGAAAGAGTAGGTTAAGTCTAAACTTCACCCCATTTCCGCGATATTTACAGTAATCAGTTAATTTCCTCGATATTTTTGATATTTTAAGGAAATATCCAAGGTTTGCAAACAATTTGTAAAACGTTTGCAAGAAATATCCACGAGCCTATGCATTCTTTATTTTTTTTTAATTTCTTTATTTATGGTATTAGTTTACTTCAATAAAACTTATGCTGCTTTCGTGACGAAAGTTTCAATTAAATCATGAAAATTTCAATTATTGATATTTCTACAAATTTACCTATCGATATTCCACCGATATCGATATTTTAAACATTGACGGCCATTGGAGCCATCGATTGAAGACTGCCTGAAGAACCACGAGTGACGATTAATGACTTTCCAGATGCCGTCCTCGCGTGCATGTTCCTCCCAAAAATAAATCATAAAAAATCCATGAGATGAACTTTAGGCGTGGGCACGATGTGATTCCACTCTCAAATAGAATCGGAATTGAAAAATATCAACAATTCAGTTCGGTACAATTCCTCTTAAATTTATTACAAAAATATCAAGATGCCGCCCGCACTCCATAAAGCATAATATGTAGACTTTTCAGTATGACCATCACACTAGATGGTACACCACATGTTCTTCTATAAATGGTGGGTTATGTATGTTAAAAGGTTAATAACTTAAAAATTAAAATTTTCCACTTGCATAAAAACACGTGATGTACCATCCGTATTCCCATCACAACTAAAAATTTCCCACATAATACAACTACTCCCTCACATCTTCAGTTTTTGTTTTTCTTACATGGACAAGTTGCTAAAGCGTCATCTCCTCCTCTATCTTTTCTTTTTTCAGACTTCATCAGGTTCAGCTTTGTGATGCAATCACCCTCAACATTATGAACAATATAGCCTTCCACAAAGATCCTCGCCATCTCCAAGTCTTCAGATTGACCAACAGCGCCCCCAACAAGAGTAACAGTGTCTTCCTATTATTCATTTATAGAAATTAAAACTCATAAATCACCAACGTGTACCACCCACCGGTGAGAATTAACACCAGATAAAGAAAACCCTAACCAAAATCACAACACTTACATTGTGATAAAGATTGGTGCCTGTCAAGCCAATAATCTCCTGCATCAAGAATATTGGAAAAAATTAGGCATACAACCAGAATAGAGTTAAGCCACCAATAATTATAAATCAAAAAGCAGTCAGCCATAATAATTTAGATCACTTTATTCACCTCTATAGAGGCACAAAATCTCCGAAGCCGATCTTCGTACTCCACCTGCAAACAACAGTAGAGATTAGAAAACAGTTACTAAGAGGTTTGGCTGAGTCTTCATTGAGCAGGTAGCACCAATCCCAAATTACCACACCTACAAAGATCAAGCCCAAATTAGGAAACCTGTATTCAATACCGACCTTCTCGATCCCAAACCTTGAGCATAGCCCACCTTCTTGCTGCCCAATCTTCATAAAGATATGCTGCTTACGGCCGTTCATAATTTCTATCGCCTGAAATCAAATGGTACAAGTTCAATATATATAGTGCAAACTTATAAGCAGTTTAAAAATTCTCACGAAATAGATAATAATCGTACAAGGGAAGGTGGAACGTTAGTTCTTCCTAGCAGTTCAAGAAGACGCCTGGCCCTGACGATACGATCTCGGTCCTTGATCTTTGTGGTTGTTGAGACTTTCATGGAACGGTTACACTAACCCACAATTGAAACACAAGAAGTGAACATGTGCATCAAACAACAGGCATAACTTCAAATAAATAACTGATCAATTAAGGGTAGGTTTCACAACCGCAAGTTTATAGAATTAATCATGACATACCGCACTCATTTCGCATGAAATGCCGTTCTCCTGTAAAAACGATTTCACCATAGGCCAAACATCTTGCACCCTTTTTGCTGAACAAAAACAATTCAAAAGCTCATAGGTGAGAAAGCATTTGTTCTCTTGAATAACTAAAACAAAATGAATTATTAGAAAGCATGAGAACAGGGAATTGTTCTGACAGAAAATTTAACAGCAAAAGTAACTACGGGACATAAAAGGGACGTAAACAAAGCTGCAAGAGTTGTGTCAAATATGGTGGTGATGAACCTCATTGAACAAGTTTGCATCAGTACTATTTCATAGTCATAACTAATAAATTTATTCGAAAAAGGATTCTTCAATTTAATAAAAAAACAAAGAAAAAAGAAAAAGATGAATATGGATGAGATGAGCGCACCCCTGTCTTCACCATAGTATTCAGTGAAAGAGCACATGCTACTTTCCGCAAGACTCTTCTCGACAGTATCGTTTGATTCCTTACATTCAATCTTCACAGTTTGTGCAAGATCAACACCATGGAGAAAGATGCCTTCCACCATTGTCCTCAACATCTCCAATCCATCTGATGTACCCACAGCAGTGAGCGTGCAATTCTATTCATTCATTAACAGACAATTTATGTTCACCTCCACCAGGTGGTGGGAAGACCAGAGAAAGAAATGGAAAACATAAGCATTAAATGATAAAGGGACAATAACACTTACGTTAAGGAAAAGTTTACACCGTGTCATCTTGGCCATTTTCTGCATCCAAATTATATTGCAAAATATTAGAGAAACAACAAGCAAAATGGGACAGGTAACATAATGTGACGCCTTAAATATTTTGCCAGCGGGAAGATCAACAAACATGATTAAATAAATTTATGCATGCACCTTGATGGAGCGCCTGGAAAGTTCGTCCCATTTCAATTTTACCTTCTGCACAAAATGTGTGAGATTAAATCCACCTAAACTAAGAACTTCAAATTTCATATCTCCACCATTATACACAAATTTGCGTCTGACTGAACATCAAGTAGCAAACATAAGACCCAACTAAAGGCTCATAGTCCTCTTACAAATTATCCTCAGATGTTGTTTTGCCAAAATTAAAAGGTCAGAATCAGTGTCCAAAAATTAGATCATAGAAGTTTAACAACATAGATTTGTTCAACACGTATTGATAGACAAAAAAATGTTATGAAACTTATTCAATACCCACCTTCTCAATTTTAAATTTTTGGTTCAGATGAAGAAATCCAATGTGAACATGTTCCATGCTTCCATCAACTATCTCTAATATCTGAAATTAAATTGTCATGCACTAAAAAGAATCAGATAATTGTTACAAAATGGTTAAAAATAAAAAATCCAATCCAAATTCTCTGTTTTTTTATACATAAAAAGAAAATATTTGGAGATTTCAAGTACAAGGTGGCGTACAAAACATTTCATAAAGCTTGCAAATATTTTGAAAATCTTTACCAGTGATGGGTCAACAGTAGTATATGCCAAGAGTTTAAGAATTTGACAAGCCTTGTTAGCAATATGTGGGTCCTCACTAGTGGTTGAAACTGTCATTGAAGGAGGGACCTGACGATAATCTACTTTCCAGTTTATGCCTTGACCTTCCAAAGACGATTTCAATTGATTTTCATATCCGTCTAGCCTTTGTGCTGCACAAAACAAAGAAAGCTCTTAGGTTGGGCAAGTGTTATTCTAAATAATTAGAATAGTAACAAGGGCAACACGCTTATTGTAGAAAATTAAACCAAATTGTAGTAACACAATGAATTACAGGACAAGGCACAGTAAAATATATATGCATATCCAGTCAGTAACTCAAGGTTAATGTCAAACCAATACCTGCACATGTAACACAATTTGTTTTTTTAACACAAAAAACCCGTTTTTGAAATCAAAATTGAGACCCAACCGCTGAACGCTACAATTACAATATTTAATAGATAGTTACAATTGTCACAAGCCACAACTAAATAGTGTGCTTTGCCTTCAATATGATCTCATACTCATATGCCTAAGATTTCCCCAAAAAAAAAAAAAAAAAAAAAAGAGGTAATTCTAAATTATAATAAAGAAAAAAGCACAAGAGAGGAAGGTACCAAACTTCGGAAAGATGGGCAAGGTCATATACCATTCCGCTGCGCACAAAACAAACAAAATACAATACAATGGAGATAAAGTGAGACGGTCAAAGCAAACAGAATACAACGTAGATAATTTGTTGTTAGCCTAACCCCTAGGCTATCCAGAAAAAAAAAAATATGTACAAGGAGAAGAGACGATCTACAATTGGTTTCTTCCACGAATTCCTCCGTATACGTGGCCCGTTCGCTTGGAGGCTTACCGTATCCGCTCAAGCAATCTTCGATTGGATCGTCGTCTGTTGTGGTGAGTGGGGCAAAGAAAGCGCCCAATTTGGTCCCGGTGAGTAGATTTGTGACGGTTTTTTTGAGAAATGTTTGATTTTCGGTGGCGGTGACGAGTAGATGATCTTTGAGGTTGCTTAAACTGGTTCTCAAACCAGCCACCCCATGGCTGAGGCCGTTGAGCTGGCTTTGGAGGCGCTCGCCGTGAGCATCCATGGATGCGCCTGTAACAGATAGGGAAGCTTTTCTGCTCCAACCCTAAACCGGTCGATCGTTTGGTCACAGAGAAATGTGAACACTTTTCGGAAGAGGATTTTCTTTTCTTTCTGCTTTCTTGTTTGTTGGGAAGGGGGAATTTTATTACGGGCTTTGATGGTCTTGGTTGTTTGAGCTCATGGATCACGGTCGCCCAAACCTCAAATAGAAACAAGCTTTCCTACCATTTAAAAATTCGCACCCCACAGCTCATAGGATAATACGTGGGAATGACAATTTCAACCGTTAAATGAGGCAGATTTGGAGATAAAAATTTGCATAGTTTGAGGATACGAAGAAAAACCGTGAATATTATTTGGTTATTATTTCAATATAGTTATAGGAATCTCCAATCTCTATTCGTCCCATAATTCACCCTGAATAATGTATAAAATAATAACCAAATTTTATCCCACTAAATAAGGTTCTCGAGGAGTGGCAAGCACCTACCAAGGCGAGTGAGCAAAGATCTTTTATGGGGCTTGTGAACTATTACCGAAGATTCATCGTAAATTAGGGTTGCTCGATCTCGGTTGGTGGTGCCCCTCTCGATGATTGTTGAAAGACTGCACTACTACCAAAACAGAACTACGAGCAATCAATCGGTAGCCAGAGTATCGACTATGACACACTGACCGATGCCGCAGATGCTCTCAATGATGAGATGTCGGTCGGTCTAAGGGGTACCTTTGTTTGCCACCCAATCACTTAATCACCCATAATAGACTTAGAGGATTCTCCAAACCATGATCAAGAATCCACATTCGACCAAGATGAGCGATGAAAACCCCCTTGACACCTCTGATTATCTGAAGCCACCATCATCTCGATCTGGATGAGTGAGGATCTCATCCTGTGAGTTCTAAGACGGGGTATGGGACTCTTTGTTTCTTTACAGGGTTGGTGTTCTCATCGACCGACATCAAGGGATACTGTCGGTGTCATGACCCAGGCATGGTTGGAGGAGTTGAGGAAACGATATCTTTTCTCGACCAATATCATTCTCTAAGTACTTGCTCTAGGGGATAAACCTAGTCGACCTCCTTGTGGTTTGGTAGCCTTCTCCGCCGAGCTCTTCAAGTTTGTGTTACGAAACTTGCAATTGTTATACCCATGATAAATTTAACTTGTTCTTGTCAAGAGTTGTTGTTATGCAGTTTCCTTACCTTGAATTTCTCTTGAATGTGGATGAGTGAAATTAGTTTTAGGTTTGGGGTATTTTGTCAAGGAAAGCCAAAATGGGAGATTTTGAAGTCTAGATTTTTGTGTTTGGCTTTCCTTGTCAATATTATATATGTACCACACATGCACAAATTAGTTTTAGAACATTCTCTGCACAAAGGGTTGCTAGTGTTGGAAATATTTACTTAAGGGTTTGGGCCATCACTTGAAAGGTTTGTTAGTGATGTCGTTCGTTCAGAATTGCTCACTGCTTTACAGCTAGCTGGGCACGCAAATTAAGACCGTCCTATGGGTTAACTGACACCTTTTTGCTGAGGACCAGCTTTAATCCTTGATCTACTTGGATCGTTTTCTAGGTTGACAAGTGTTTCTTGTCCTTGATTAGTTGAAAAACAAACAGGTCATTTTGTTAAAAACCTTAGCTTGGTCTCATTGGTTCTTGGGCTCAGATAAATTAGTTTTACAGAGAGTTTTTTTTTTTTTTTCATCTCCATCTCAAATCCCAAATCCCCTCAGAGCATCAAGCATTTTTCTGGGTAATGTTCTTCAGCCAATATTTATAAATCTATCCAAGAAAATGCTTGCTTAAACCTTCTTAAAAGCATTTATTTTGAATTAGAAAGTTTAAATCTTTGAGAGTGCATTAAAAAGTTTTGCGTTTTCTCATGTGTTCTTCATTTAAAACCCTAGTAGCATAACCTTTTCTCATGCATCAAATTTGTGTGAATGCTACACCTGTTTTATGATTTGAGGCTTGATTGTTCATGCTTTAGTTTTTCATAAGTTTCAAATCTACAAACAGACCTAGGTTGGATTCACGTTAGTTTCTTCCTTCAACTGTTTGACTGAAGAAACTGACTGGTCGTTGAATCCATATTTTCATATCACTTTCATCATTATATCATTTTCTTTTGTTCGTGTTGGTCTTAGTGCCACAAGGTGAAGAGTTCAGGAAAATAAGTTGTCATCTTATGAAGACTGAAGACGTCTTCATCACTTGTAAAGTATGGTTGTACTTCGTATGAACCTTATTTTCACTAGTCGATTGGACTCAGTAGGGTCCCTGATTTTTTAACCTAGAGGTGGGTTTCTCCAGTAAAAAATTTCTTGTGTTCTTTGTCTCTTAAACTTGTCCACATATTTTATTTATTAGCATATGTCATATATTACATGTATCTTATGGGTTGTTATTTGATATGTGTTTAAGACGAAGTTTACACTTCATATTATGAGTAATGAACTGAATTATTGTTGACTAGGATAACTGGTAGTAAACTAAGTTTGATTGATCAATTCGTGTTTGGTTAATTAACTAATCTATACTTAGTTGACTGGCGAGTTTAACTAGTCAATCTAGCATGCTTTGATTCGTAATTGCATTGTCATTGTTGTTTGCATAATGGACTTATATGTGAATGTGTTCAAGTTTGGGAATTGTTATTGTGAGAGGGATTTGGATAGACTCTGGCTAGTTGTTGTTGTAGTAATTTTGTTCTTGCAACTGCACTTTCTGTCAGTAATAAACTTGTAACTAGTTGACTAGCTCATTTGACTAGTCTACTGTGCACAATTATTTTTTTATCTGCAGAATATTCCGACTAGTACCAATTTCAATTGGTATTAGAGCCATACTTATTCGATGTAACGGATTACGTTGCTTGGATGGGAAGTTTCAAATCTTCTTGGATGCTCATAATTGCCTTTGATTTCTTACTCTTGATAAGGAAGATGTAGACTAGAAAAAAAGTTGAAAGATGCTGCTTTCCAAGGGGTTTAGAAAGCTAAAGCTACTGAGAGATCAAAAGTCCTATCTTCTGAAGAGTGTTTGGCTTTGTTTGTTTAACAATTTGGAAGAATTCTCAAAAACAAAGGAAGTGATGTTAAAATGAGTGGGGACTCATCTAAAGTTCCACAATTTTAATCACAAGGAAAAAAAGACTTTGGGCAAGAAGCAAGGAAAACTTTTTAGTCTTAGAGATACAGCATCTTCAAGTGAACCTGGACCACACTTCACTTATAGTGGAGTTGGTCATCGTGCTTTTCTATGTGCCAATAACATTAGAAGACCAGTTTACAAAAGAGACAAAGGTAAGACAAAACCTTCATTGTTGGTTAGAGTGAGCACTCTCAACAATTTGACCATTCATCAAATGATGAAGTACAAATTGTTGCTCTTATTGCTTTAGTGGAAAAAGGCCATCTCAGTAATGATGAACTTGTATTGGATGATTCTGAGAACTTGATTGAGGAGGAGTTGTGTCTTATAAGGTGGGTTGGAAAAACCGAAAACCCAAAAAAAAACGAATCAAATGGAAAAAATTGAGCCAAAATACTTCGATTCAGTTTCGATTTCAGTGGTTCAAAAACTAAACTGAACCAAACTGAATCGAACTGAGCCAAATTAATATATATTAATTTTGTTTTTTTTATATTTATATTGGGTATTTAATTTTGAAGCCCAATTCAAAGTAAAGTACTAGTCTAATTTAACACAATCCTAACCCAATTTCAAGCCCAAGTAAAAAAGTCTAAAAACTAAGAAGAAACCATATCTGCCATCTCTCCCATCATCTGCATAAGTGCCATAGGAAATGATGAGTCAATATTTTACTATATATTTCACCCTAATCTTACTACTAATTTATTGGTTATTTTGTGAGAATTTTGATACTTTGATTTATATTCTTAATGTAGGATTCTCGATTTCGTCTGGGACAAAATGTGAACAACGGAGGAATTTTGTAGTGATTCAAATTGGCGGATGTTTGCATGTCTTTCAACTTCTTGGTATCAAAGTTTCACATTTTTTTACCAAGCGGTTATTTTCTGGTGATGAAATAAAGGAGCAGGGTGCAGTGTTGTCAAAGTGACGTTTTGGGCTTATGTGGACTTTTTGACGTCCAAGATAATGTTTCTTGGGTTCAAAGCCATCTGCAATTATGTTCGGTACATCTCAAGCTTTAATTCAAGTCATTTTGGCCCTGTTCTGGAGCCCTAAAAGTCCAAAAACGTGACTAAATTGTGGCTGGGCAGATTTACCATATTTGATTAGGATTATGTTTCCTAGTTTTTAGAAGACCTTTTCTAGATAGGGTTTTATTTTTTAGTAGTATAAATAAGGCTATTTAGCCACTAGGGTTAGGAGGAGAACGCACTACTTTAGCTTAGAGACCTTTTGACAATTCTCAAGGTGTTTTTTTTTTATCCATACTATTAATAATATTTTATTTTGTGATTGTTTGTAACTAATTTCGTTTGCTTATGATATTATGAATGTAGGTTTTGAATTGTTAATCACCGGTTAAAACTATCTATTTGTCTTAGTGATTGACCACCATTAGGATATTTAGAAAAGTAATTTGATGCAATTTTGATGGAGAGATGTCCCTAAAATTGACTAAGGCTTCTTGTGGTTAATATGTGTAACTTCTTAGGATGGACAACACATCTTAAGGGTTATGGTTTTTCAAAAGGTTTTCACAAATCTAAATGAGTCTTGCATGTTCACATTCGATCTGGACACCTTGGACGGATTGCATGTTAGATATACATTCTATGTTGGAGGTTCCAAGCAGGATATATACTAGGAAAACCTAACCTTCAAAATATGCATGTGTAATTCATAAGTAATTTAAAGAACTACGTAGGATTGTTAAGGTGACGGCGGAACCCTAGTGCTTAAATAGATTTTCAAACTATTTTCTTTTGTTTTATTTACTTTGCCAATTTATTTAATTGTTTTTAATTAAATTCATTTTTAATATTTTAGGTCATTGGATCAACACTTTCCAAACTTTGTTTCAAATAATTAATTAAAATTTGGTTTTAACATAAATTATTCATTCAATTTTTGTGGAAAACGATCTTACTTGAGCTGCTATACTACAATAACCTTGTACTCTTGCA